TTCTGTTGTGCATATGCTTGCTATGAATCAGAACTGATTGGATGGCTACTAACATCTCATTAAATTAGAAATGCACTTTTGGTAGAAAACCCATGATTTTTAAAAATGTTCTCAGTTTTATAAAAATGTGTCAGTCTTTTCATTGATCTATCTAGCCTATTTTTAATTGTAATGTAAGTATTAATATATTAGGGCTAAGGTCTGCCATTTTATTGATTTGTTTTATTTTCTACTTATTCCCTTTTTTCTCTTTTCTTTGGGTTACTTCCATTTTTTAAGAGTTCTATTGAATTTACTATAATGGTTTGGAATAATAGGAATTTTACTGATCCACTGGTATCATTGTTTTCACTTTTTTCTACATACTTAAAAACACATCGGGCTTAGATGTGATTAGCCTCCTGCTTCTGCAGGTTTATGTCTGTTGAAAATTTTGGAAGTTTTCAGCCATTATTTCTTTCAGTTGCCCTTCAGCCTGCCTTCTTTCAGCTCTCCTCCTGGCACTCTGGTGACATGAATTCAGACCGTTTCTGCTGCTTCTACAGCATCTGGGGCTCTTCTCAGTTTTCTTTTGGACTATTTACTGTTGAGAACCTCAGTAATTTGAATTGTTCCATCACCCAGAACTGGGTGATAGTTTTCCCCTCCATTCTTCTATTGAGTGCATACACCGAGCTTTATTTATAGTTATTATGATGATATTTTTCCATTACAGTATTTCCATTTTGGTTCTCCTTTTTAACTTCCATTCATTTGCTAACATTTTCTGTTTGTTTTACTGAGGCTTCCGTTTTTTATTTTTTAAATGTGCTCATACTCGCTAAAGCGTAATTACCATAGAGGCTTTGAAATACCTGTCAGACCATCCTACTCTCTCTGTCATCTCGTTGCTGGTTTCTGTTATATTTTTTCTTTTTTTTTCACTCAATATGAGATTTTCCTTGGGCACATGAGCGAGCTTCAGTGGAAATGCAGACATCTTGGTATTATATCATGAGACTGCATTTTACTTAAACTTTCTGGTATAACTGATTTTTTTCTGACACCACTCTGGCAGATTAAGTAGATACCTCCTGCTAAGGATAGGCAGAGGTAGAAGTCCAGGTTTCCCAGTAAATCTTTGTTGCCATTCAAGGATGTTCTCATTGCTGTTAATCAGTGGTGATTGTTTGAGCTAACTCCTCATTGCTGTTAATCAGTGGTGAGTGTTTCAGCTAACACCACTGAAGACAGGTGTTAGAAGCTAGTTGACCTTTTCCCGCCACTCACTGATGTGAGTATTGGGTTCCCTCATTACAAGTGCATGATGGTAGATTCTAGTCCCTCCACTTGGATTTTGTTGGCATAGAGGTAAATAGAAACATACACACAAACACACACACACACACACACACAAACACGCACATTAACTATATATACTACATCTATATATGCTACTTTTATTAGTTTGCTCCTTTTTGGGAGTGGGATAGAGGGTCCTCCCAAGACTGAACATAACTGACTGAGAACTATTCTGGAAGGACTGGACCCTTACAAAATCCCAATTGACATAGCTCAAACTTTTGTGGTTTTTTTTTTTTTAATCAATTTATTGGGGCTCATACAATTCATCACAATACATAGATCAATTGTGTAAAGCACATCTATACATTTGTTGCCCTCATTATTCCCAAAATTCGCGTGCTTATTGAGATAAAAATATCATAAACATTTTGTTTAAATCTTAAAAATAGCCTTTATTTTGGTTTGCTCTGGATTTATGGTTTTCTGATAAACATTAACGTTAAGCCTATCTTTTTTATTATTAAAAGATCATTTTATTGGGGGCTCTTATAGCTTTTATAACAATCCACACATCAATTATATCAAGCATATTTGTACACCATCATTATTTTCTAAACATTTACTTTCTCTTGAACCTTAGTATCAGCTCCTCCTTTTTCCCTCCCTCCCCCCCTTGTGAGTCCTTGATAAATTATTCCTATTTTCATATCTTACATCGACCACTGTCTCCCTTCCCCCATGGTTTCTGTTGTTCTGTCCCCCTGGGGGTTGGGGTGGGTGGATATGTGTCAGTCATGGTGATCTGTTCCCTCTCCTCCCCTCCTGTCCCCACCTTTCCCCTACCCTCCTAGTATGCTACTCCCATTCCTGTTCCTGGATTCCGCGTGTCACGAGCTCTTATCTTTTATCTGTTTCTGTGCACATGTTCCAGTCTAGCTGCACGGAAAGGCAGGACTGGAGTCATGATAGTGGGGGGTGAGGAAGCCTCAAGGGACCAGAGGAATATTGTGTGTTTCATCGGTGCTTTACTGCGCCCTGGCTGACTCATCCCTTCCTTGTGACCCTTCTGCGAAGGGATGTCTCATTGTTTTGGGTTTTGGGTTTCTGCACTGCACCCCCTTGTTCTCAACAATATAGTTTTGTTGTTTGTTTGTTTTGGGTCTTCTGATGCCTGTTACTTGATCCTGTTGACACCTCATGATTGCACAGACTGGTGTGCTTCTTCCATGTGGGCTTGTTTAATTTCAAGCCTTTAAGACCCCAAGTGCTGTATCTTTTGATAGCCATAAGCCCATCTTTTTGAGGAAGGAATAGTTATACCCCTTTTTTAGATTCACAGTAGTAGGTATTATGCTAAATTGCAAACATACTTCAAAGCAGGTGTACTCTTTAGAATGGACCAATACTAACCACATAAACATGCATTTCATTTAGAAGAGACCCCCCCCCACTTTTTAACTGTTTTTGGAAAATGTAATCAGTTTGTTTATTATTAGGTCATTTAATCCTAAAATAAGGAGCTGAGTGGCTGTGGTGCCATAAGAGTCAACGTCTAGCAATCTATGGTCTAAAAGTTCTATTCCAAACAAAACTTCTTAGAACATGCTGCCCTGAGAGGTCGTTCTATTTGGTGAATTGTACCATCAGCTTCTACTTTGGATAATGCCAGGAAGTCTTAAATTCAGAAATATGCAAACCATTTGGGTCTTGCCACCTGTACATTTTAAATGTTAGATTTGTGTCCACAATACGGATTTCAATGTGTTCGTGAAGGCAGCTTATATCTTCTGAGGCTCTCTTTTCGTTGATCCTTTTAAATTTATTTCTAGTAAATGTGGTTCTCAGCAAGTTCTGGGCTTCTTTATAAAATACACACATACACACACACAAACAAGCACAGAGCTGTCCTGATTTGAAGATTTTGGTAATGTGTTTTTGTACAGGGCATAAAAATATATCTCTATAATTACATGATATTTAGTGATTAGATAATTATGGATAATTGCATGGGGTAGTTCTAAGAGCTAAAGTGTTACCATAAGATCTAAAATGTACAAATTGCATAATAATTATTCTTGGGAGTTATTTGGTAATTCTAAGCATAATTATCATGTGATATGCAGTGCATGTAATTAATGCATAATCACATGGATTTTGCCTTCATAACTACTTCACCCTTCTTACAAATCTCTTTGTCATAACATTTGAGTATAAATATAATGTAATTGGTTCCCAGATACAGTACATTAAGCCCCATGATAATTGCTTTCATAGTAACAATAACCCTTTATTCTATTCCAAATGCTTGACTCTTAAGCAAGAAGGGGTTACCAGGAAAAAATTGCCCAAGCAATCAGAATTGACTCAGTGGCAGTGTGTTTCTGTATAGTGCGATGAACAGAGTAGTGAGTGAGCAAAGGGTAAATATTTGTGCATCATGGGTCGGGAATATCCTACCATGACATAACCTTTCCATGTGGAAGTTTTCATCTTTCATAATGACTACAACATCTCCTCCAAATAAAATGTATATTTCCTATAAGTCTCCTGGTTGGTCAGCCCCTCCCAACATCCAACAAGCCTTTATCTATCTGTCTATCTATCTATCTATCTATCTATCTATCTATCACTTATTTATTAAAGTAATAAAGTATTATTGTGCTTCTGGTCTAGGAGTTTTAGAAAGTTGGACTATCTATAAATAAATTATTTGATTAATATCATGTCGTAAAGTGAAGCCTTGGTTTGGTTAATGGTATCACCATCTTCTGCCAGTTTGTTATACAGAGACTTTCTGGAAGCTGTTTCTCTCTTCCGAAGGCTTTATTTTCTCCAAACTACACCTGGTAGAGAAGCTTAGAGGCAGGTTTAAACCCTTCCTGTCTACAGTCTTCTTTGCTTTTATACCCCAAAGCATAGTCCCAGCCTCCTCCCAGGAAATCTTAAAAATCTGGGCTGAGGGTGGAATACTGGGTCTCTCAACATGGAACCTAACATACTAACCCATATCCCTTGCTCAATGATGAACCTGGAAGAACTAGACCCTTCTTTGAATTGATAAAGTTCAGACTTTGGTGAAGTTGCTATGCTGACTACGGGATCCCCAACTCCAATATTACAAGTACCAGCAGGTTCTCCCAAGGTGCACAGGTTTCAGTGGACCTCCCCAACTAGAAAGGAGGGTGTGACAATTGACCTCCCCAAATTATTTAGTGAAAACCTTAAGGATCATAGTGCTGGTTGGAAGAGTAGGCACCCTGGAAGTATGGTGGGCTATATATTGAGTTGCTAACCACTAAGTTAGCAGTTCAAAGCTATCAGGTGGTGCCCCGTGGGTGAAAGAGGAGACTCTTTACTCCTGTGAAAACTTGTAGTCTCAGAAGCCCACAGGGAGGTTCTGTTTTATCCTCTGTAGGGTATCTATGAGTAGAAATCAACTCAATGGTAGTGAGCATGCTTAGGTTTGGTTTTAGGTTGGAAGTCACTTGAAACACACAGTGGCTATCACAATGGACTCAAGCATACCAAGGAAATGACCATAATGCAGGGCCTGGCATGAGTCAGGGATGGCTTGATGACCATGAACACAATCACCATCATGAGCCAGACTGAAAACTGTTTCCAAACTGGCAAGGATTTTTTTATGAGACTAAAGTCAGGTCTTTGGGTAAGCTTCCGGAAATGGTAACATGTTTGTTGTGACTTCCCCCCACCAGGTTTCACATGGCAGGATGACTATACCCAGCACGTGATGACCAAGGAACTCGCTAACCTCCCCAAAACATACCCACGACGTGCTGAAGCTTCCTCAAGAGAGGGGTCCAACCCGGCCAGGTAAATGCAGATGTACTTTGTCAGTTTGCTGCCCGGTCACACCCATAATCCCTTAATCTTTCTGTTTTCAATGTAGCAAAGTACACTTTCTTGTCTTCTTTGTCTAGCAGGGCCTGTAAGAAGACCAATGCTTCCTTTCCCTCTTGTATCTCAGTCCATCATGGTTGGGGGCTGTCGAGTGCATTCCAACTCATAATAATTGTGTAGGACAGACTAGAACTGCTGCATAGGAAGGCCTTGGTTGTCGTCTTTATGGAAGCAGATTTAAGGTCTTTCTCGGGAAAGCTACTGAGTGGCTCCAAACTGCCAAAGCAGTTGAGAATTTACCTGGTATGTTACCAGGGCTCCTTCCAGCCCAGTAGAGAAAGATGTATTGGAGTGACCCCTTGCTGAGGGCCCCTTTTCCCTGGGAGCCACGCCTAAGAGGCTCTTGCCTTCATTTGCCACAAGACTGTCAGATCACCTACATCTTAATGGCCTCAGTTGAAAGCAGACGTCTAGATGTCTCATTTCTCAGTAAGCTCATGTTCCCTTGAGCTGGATTAAAACATGGCCATCTTTGTTCTTCCTTTCTCAGAATATATCAATCTTTAGTGAGCTGAATATTTTATTGTATGTAATCTGACTTCATCTTCTCTATAATTTAGGAAGAAATTAGTAAGGTCTGACCCATTTTTACAAGTGAGGATATTGACACTGAGGGAAGTTAAAAAAAAATTAATCCAATGGAAAAGAACACTAAGAAAACTGGGGTTGCTGGTGTGAGTCCAGAAATGTTTTATTATTTGTAATGTTTAATAATTAGGACTTTCACTCAAAGTTTAGTTCATCATTTTTCCTTTGTAGAGAGCGTTTTCTTAGCACCGATAACATTTAGTTAGAAAGATCCCAATAATACACAATTTAGAGAATTGCCTTCTGTGGTAGTCTAGGTAGACTAGGGAAACAAATCCATGTACACACATATGCATATAAGAAAGACATTTATATACGAGAGGACTTGAACACTGAGAAAACATCTCAACCCAGTCCAGTCCAAGCCCATAATTCCAATGCTAGCCCATATGTCCGACAGCAATCCATAAAGTCCTCTTCAGACTCACAGAACACATGCAATGATGCCAACTGCAGGAAAATCACAGGCCAGTGGGTAGAAGGTCGTTGGTTACAGTGGCTTTTTGAGCATCTTTTGAGCATCTTTTTGAGCTTTTTGAGAAATGTCTCTCGCCTCTAAGGAGGAAGTCCCAGATTTCCCAGAATTCTCATGAGAAGGCCATGCCCACACAGACGCCTCATTGGCTATGATCTGATTGACAAGCTAGATTCCACCCCTACACTCTTAATCCTCAAATTGACAAACGATTATATATCTCCCACACACCTTCTATGCCCATGTCTATTTTATAGACGAAACAACTGAATCATTAAAAACTTCTTTTAATCATTCTTTAAATAAGCTTTAAATAGACGCCCCGGGGCATAATGGGCTACAAAATAAACTCCAAACTCACTGCCGTTGTGTCGATGCCAGCTCATAGACCTATAGAACAGGGGAGAACTACCCCTCTGAGTGAATTTCTGAGACTGTACCTCTTTATGGGATTAGAAAAGCCACATCTGTCTCTGGTAGATCAGCAGGTCATTTTGAACTGTGGACCTTACAGTTAGCAGGCCAACTGGTAACCAGTATGCCACTTGCTAGCCATAAATTAGCTGTTCAAATTCACCAGCCATTCTGCAGGGGAAAGATGAGGTTGTTGACTCCCGTACAGATTTATGGTCTGGGAAACTCAAAGGGGCCATTCTACTCTGTCCTATAGTGTCCCTAAGGCTCATACTTGATTTGATTGCAGTAGGTTTGAATTTTAGATTTGACTTATGTTTTAAATGGATTAACAAATGTAAAGAACGTAGAACAGTACATAGTACATAGTAAACACTAAAAAGTGTTTAACCATATTAGCTATCACCTGCAAGACTGTGAGTTGCTTAAAAAGAACTATGCTGTTGTAATCCTGTGCTAAGCTATCTACATTTCTTGTTGTTGTCAATTGCCATCCAGTTGACTGTGACTGGTGGTGACCCCATGCGTGCAGAGTAGAACTGTCCCATGCTGTTTCAAGGCTGTGACTTTTCAGAAGGTCATGGCCTGGACAGCTTCCCAAGGTTAGACTGTGAGTTCCAACCTTCATCTTTCTTTATTAAAATATATACACAGAGACATACACATATACGATATAAATTCGGTGAGGATATAGTTCTAAACAATAACAAAATGATTTCCAATTTGAGCTAACTTGAATTGCCGTGTTCACTAGAGATGAGCCCATAATCTTCACACTACCCTTGAAACTTCATCTGGATCTATGTTCCCCTTCTCCGTAAAAATTCCAGCAGCATCTGCTACAGATTCATAAATAAAAGTTAAGCAAACTGGAATTGCACTAGGAGCAGGGCTGGGTTGGATAGCCAAAGGAAGGAAAAGGAAAGGATGATTGGAAAATCTGCAAGGAATAGCTGTTTGTTTCTAGAGAGCCAGTGCAAGTGACTGAAAAGTTTTAACCAACACATAGGAGGCAAACCGGAGAACCTGGAAATCAAAAAAATATTTCCAGGTTGTTGTTTTTAAAAAAAATTCCAAGTTTATATTTTAAATAACTTAATTTTTAAGGACAAATGAAATAAAAAGTTTTAAAAAGGTACATTTACGGACATTGGCATTTTCTTCCTTTGGAATTTATTATTTGCCCATAATTTTTTCTTTTGTTTCTTGCAGACTGAAGTCTTTCTACATTAAAGCTAGTAACTCTTTATGTCTATTTTGTAGATGGCATCGAATGTGTCGCCAATGAAAAATATATGTCTTCGGCTGGATTTTTGATCTCTTAAGGGCTGAGACATAGATACGTTCAATCATCTTGGCTAGAAAAAGAGAATTCCTTTGGAAAAGACTTGCTGGGTATTCTCCACATTCATTTTCCAGGCTTTCTTTCTGCTAACTCCCCCCAAAGACTGGTCTTTAGAGACTGGTCTTTATTATGGGATGGGTTTGGCCAGTGGAATTCATCTCTGGAGCTATGGCAGGATGACGACTGAGGGGTTTTTGTTCCTCCCAGTTCTTTCCACTAGGCTGTCGGTTGTCTTCTACTGCAGTCACAGACCTCTCTTAATATTCTCTGGATTCCCATAACTTTCCCTGACTGCTGACCCACCAGTTCTCCACTGTTGTTAATCTCGAAATACTTCATCGTCTCCTGTGCGTTTCCCTCACTCCTGCCCAGGCTTTGGGGACGAGCTCACTTATTAAACTACTTGGTGATCTCATTTAAGCCTGCTGTTGAGACTGTGGCCCGATGCCATTAGCCATGAAGACTTGACCTGATTCAGAGACTTGGTAGGCCAAATAAGAAGCAATATAGCCCTGTCTTTTCCCACTATTATCCCAACAACAAAGCATTAAAGTTACATTATCATCATGATATAAATTTAAAAGTTTTTTTTCTTCTAAAGTTCCTAGGAAATTTTCATTAGCATTGAATTGGCTGCTTCCTGGTATATTTTTAAAGGAAATCGGCCTTTGTAGGCAATCTCTAATATTGTTTTCATGATCTTGAAAGATTGTTGGTAAAATATGCTTGCAGTTTTTCTAGTGTGAATTTGGGGCATTCATTTTCAACAGAAAGCTATGCTTTTCATGGAGATTAGCAAATTTGTTAGTTTGGTATCATGATTATAACTTTTTAAAGGACTCGTAAGTGTAGTATCCCTTTTGACATTTTACTAAGCTTGATTTTATTTTCACATTAAAAAAAGATTTTAAAATATATGTATCGTGAATTTTCTTCTTTCTTCTATTCTTAGATTTTTTGTTCTTTATAAAACTTCTTGAGTCAAGAGATTTTCATTTGTTTTTATTTGTTGTTTTAAAAATAATGAAATCACATACTTGTGCATTTGCCTTTAAGATTAGTTTTGGCATCCTTCCATAATTATGATGTATTTTCCTTTGTGTTTATTCTAAATCATGTAGAATTATAATTTTATATCTTTTTTAAAGTAAGTGTTCATTAGACTTTATCATTTTCATATACAGTGAACCCTAGCCACTTCGCGCTTTGACTTCCACGGCTTCCCTCTATCGCGGTTTTTGCGTAACAGCGCATGCTCTGTCATTACTGCCACTGAGTGGCTCATACTGTACACGCTTCTGTCTGCATCGCTATGTATCGGAGCTACATATCAGATGCATTTTTGCTTTTGTACAGTGTACTGTAATTGCGATTTTTAAGAAATTTTATCTAAGCCCTATGATGGCTCCTAAATGAGCTGCTTCTTCTAAGCCTTCTGACAATAAAAATAAGCGCCAGAGGAAGATGCTCACCATCCAGGAAAAGGTAAAACTTTTGGATATGATCAAAGATGGCAAGAAAATCGTGGAGGTTGCACGCCATTTCGACTTGAATGAGTCTTCCGTTCGCTCCATCCGTAAAGAGGAAAAAAACATCCGTGCTACGGCTACTTTCACTTTCAACAAGGAAGCAAAGCGCATCGTGACAAGTCGTGATAAGTTCATAATAAAAACGGAGTCTGTCCTAGCCGTTTGGATCAATGACAGGCGCAAGAAAAACATTCCGTTGGATTCGATAGTCATCCGGGAGAAGGCAAGGCAGCTCTATCAGCGTTTTACAGCAGACAAACCTCAACCAGAATCCTCTTCTGCAACGTTCGTGGATTTTACAGCGAGCAAGGGTTGGTTCGAAAAATTCCAGAAGAGGTATATGAAGGTAGAGATGACAAAGGCCACCTGGAAGAAGTTGTGGCCTGGAATTGTCCAGGAATCTGAAGAATTCACCCTAGAAGAAGTCAGAAACTCAGCGGTGGATAACACAGTGAGACTAGCCCAGATGCTGGAAGGAGAAGGTTTCAAGGATATGCACCGCGATGACGTATTTGAGGTGCTGGAGTCTTCAGATCATTTAAATTATGAGAATTTGGTGGAA